CTACTTATATACATATGAGATTAATATCTATTCACTTTTATCTCTTAATTATGAATAAAATTATTTTAAAATTATGTATTTTAATGATTTTTATTAAAAAAAGTAAAATATTCTAATTTTCAAAAGGAATGTGTTTTGGTCTTTTCTCTCAAAGCTTTATTTATCTCGTCAAATAATGCAGCTTTTAATTTTCTTTAGATGTCATTTCTTTAATAAAAATCCACCAATCAATAGCCATTTGGAGCTGACAATTTTTCTTTGGATACGAACAGAATTATTTTCTACATACTTTTTATATAAGTTTTTTGTGTTATTAAATAAATAAATATATATTATATTATGAATAGGCTTTAAAATGAAAATAAAATTATTAAATAACACGTAAGTAGTGATGGTAATTTTTCTTGATTCTCATGGGAATTGTCGCAAATATTCATCTCTATAAGGCAGGGATAATAAGCATTTTTACCATGGAAATTTTATGGAAAATTTTTGTTGCCCTATAAGCCCTTGCGGGATTCCCGTTCCCTATGAAAAATTAAAAAAATAAAGAAAAAATATTAAATTCAATACAGTTTAAATATCTTACTCATAGTCTTAGGCATACCCATTACTCATTTTTAATCTTAATTCAATACTAAAGTCCAATTATTTTAAATCAAACCAAATCCAACATTTATTTTTACTTTGACCCAACCATTTAAAATAATTAGTTTTAAAATAATAAAATAAAAATAATGAAATTAATGTTATAACATAGTTGGCAAGGATAAAGAATCCCCGTAATAATGAAGGTGGCAAGCAAATTTTACCCATTGTCAAAAATTGCAGGGATCATCATCCCCACAATTCATGGGGATGGGGATGTTCTCCCTAACCCCACAGGACCTCATTGTCATTACCATATGTAAAGGTTTTCTTTTAAAAAAAATTTATCTTTAAATTATTTTTCACATCAAAATATTAAAATGACGTGGGTCCTAATGCACGTCAATTATAAAGTTTTAACACATTAGCATTTAGCTTATGTGGCATATCCAGGCAATGTTGAGAGAACTGGTTGGCCATGTTAGCAATTAATTGACAGAAAGACAAATTTGGTATCAAAAATAGAAGTTCAGAGGTAATTTTAATGCTTTTTAAAGTTTCAGAATAGCTTCAACTAAAATCTGAAAGTTGAGGGACGGGTATTTTAATCTCAACCATAAGCAGACCCCTTTGTTGGTGGTATGTCCGAATGTAGGCCTGAGCATCCACCAATTTCTAAGTCAAGTCATACGCGTTACGCTCGAAGTCCAACCATTTTGCGATCGCGCACGTGCACGTTGTGGGCCTGGGCTGCTGCAGATTAGGGGTCGAAATTTCTAATTTTTGTCTGTTTGTTGGGACATGATTATAGTCATTAATCAATAATATTATAAGATAATACCGTATCAATTTT